GAATTCTTAAACCCTGAACCAAAGTTCTAGGTTTGTGTCCCCAGCAGAGTCGCCAGAGCTGTCACACCTCCTTTTTCACTACTCCCCGTGAAGGGTATAATAAAGGAGTTTTTCCAATTAAAGGACAATCGAAACAGGATTCATTTATTAAAAGATTCAGAGTCGCCACTTGGGAGATTTATGGTGTCCCAAGTCACCGGTTGAATCCCGAACCGAGGAAATTATGACTCTGTTAACAGTCCGCGAATCAGAATTTCGAGTAAGGAATTCTGTTAACCCGGGAGAAGGTGTTAGGCATTCCCGGGTTCCGTGGTTCTAGCACAGTCTCTCAACTGTCATATTTGGCTTATTTATCTGATTTCAAAACATGTTTTAGCTTGTGTGATTTTTAACTTTGAATCGCTTTTATTATTATTATTTTTAAAGAGAATTACAACGTCGTGAAAACATGTCTCAAACCACGTCACATAAATGCATCCGTGATTGTTGACACATTTCGACTTCGTTGAGATTTTGATTTGGGTCACATAAATGTGCACCCGAGTTTAGGAAGGTAATGTTATTAAAATACGCGCCTAATGTAGCTAGCGTGTTATTATCTTTGGGGAAGGCCGTGAAATTCGCTAAACGGCCCGTCCTGAAGTCTAGGTATTTTAACATGAGCATTTAATGAGGGCCCCGCAATTTATATGTTTTGTTCGTCGAGGCTCATCTCATTTTTATTTAAAGGCCAGTCCTAAAGTAAACTATGATTTTCTATTGTTATTTTTGTCTCTAAAAGGCCTAAATAGTTAATAAAACAAAAGTCGGGCCTTGAGTTCAAGTCTGGATTCAAACAAAAGGGAAAACCTCTTAATTTGGATCCGCTACTTAACTCGAAAGCCCAAATTTGTTACAAAATCAATCTCATTAACCTAGGGGTGAATGCAAACCTTCAGCAATTTCTTTTGGGCTTCAAGCGTAGCCCAGGAAGAAAGACTGCACAGTCAATTTCAAGTTGGAACTTGCACGGATGAATGCGGGCCCAAACCTAGCAATTTGGCTTTAGCGATTTGCAACTGGGTGAATTATTTCGAACTTATTTAAATCAATGCCTGCCAATCTTAAATTCACACCAATCAGATTTGATTTTAATTCCAACGCTCAGCTTCCTTTGTCTATTTATCCAGTAGCTAAACTTCATTTATCACTAAAATGGCTAAAACTGGGAAAACATTGCCAATCGTGAATTCAAATGTCTCGTGTATCTATTGAACAGTTCAATTATATAGTTCGATCATCACTTTCAAATCTTAACTAATGTAACTATATAAAATTTCTGGCAGTGTGCTAGTTTCAATTACACGTAAACATGCTAACAGCCCAACTCTAAAGCACGATAACTCAACTCAACATTTGAATCAATAAGCAACATTTGAGTTAATAGAATTCAACTTGAGTTGAAGAGGGAAGACCTGAGAATAAGCCTGCCTAAACTAATCTACTGGATCAAACTAAATAAAATATATTAACTCACAGTCCATTGTTTATGTTAGTACAAATCATATTGGACAAATGCATATCAGTTAACATATATCTAACTATCTATTAACACACATCGTGAAGCATCGAATATGAACATAAGATCTCTGTTTCAACAGCTACACCCAGGTAGTTTTGAGATGTGTACCTGGAGTATGAAATAACAAGGGAGAAGAGAGAGAGGTCAGCAACAACAAACGTAACAGCAGCAATTTGGAGTGCAAATAGCAACAAACACAACCAATTTCAGCCCAGAAATGACTCAATGGTCCAGAACTATTTTAAATCAAACGAGACTAATATAGCCACCCACAAACAACACCAAAATGACCAGAAAATGACCCAGCAATGAACACAATCAGCAAATAATCAATAGTCAACTTCAAACTAAAGAATCCCATGCTCAACTGACTCGAACTTGTCTTTAATCTCCTTATTGAACAAAACAGTAGAAACTCAAATTGCTTTTCGATCCAAAGTAAGCTAGAATGTGATTTAGAGGCTGAAATTCGAAATACCTAAAGGGAAGCAATGAAACAGTATTTTTTGATTTTTTTCTCATATTTCTTTGTTTTTTTTGGATTTTTAGTAGGAATCTTGAGATCTAAAGAGGAGTTTTGACCATAAAGAGTTTTAGCAATTTGAACTTCTTTGATTTAAATTCAAACTTTGAATTCAGATTTGCAGAATGGATTTTTGGGGGGAATTTTTGGGCTCCAAACTTGTAGGAAAGGCATGGAGAGTGCCATTTTATAGGCAAAATGAGGGCAGCTTCAGATTTAGTTTTACCATAAGTCCTCACCTTATTTTCTATTAACTCTCTATTTTCTGACTTGATGCTCAAGTTACACACTATCTTCTGAAATTTACCTTTAAACCCACAATCTAGAAGCTTCTAGGAAATTCTTGCTAGATCCTCTACCCTTGATTGCCTATCTTACCCTTTATTTGGAATTCTAAAATTACCATGTCTTTAACAAACCAGCCATTTTAGATGCCTAAACTTACCTTGACTTGCCCTGAAATTACTAACCCACCCAAACCCCCTTTTGTCCTATTGAACAACTGACGTATAGTTTAAACTAACTACTCTAATTTCAGTTATAACCAAAACACCACTTAAATAAGAACATTTAATAACTTGAATAATTTAATCAAATAAGCTTCCACTAACACTAAGCACTTAAACTAGATTAAGCTTAGGAATAGATTATTCTCAAAACCAAACTTAAAAAAACAAAATTGCTTTAAATCTTCAAACTCACACTCAAACCAAATTCCAGATCGACGCCAACTCAATAATCAAAGCAAAACTCAAATGAAATCTAAGGTTCGTATGAATTGACCCCATTCAAATCCACATAACATATTAAAATAACATGCCATCAATTAACATGAACAAAACTGCAAACCCTACTTGACGTAAATAATCAATAAAGAACTCAAACTTAAAACTTGGGGCATTTGAATAATAATCTCACTTCCTAACTATGTGACCAATTGTGGGAAAACAATTTCATGCTACAACTACTCATGGACAAAATAACAATCATGGAATTACTGAGAAACAGAACAGAATTAAAACGAACTTCACTGATTTTGACGCTAGGGTTTCTGCAGGACTTATCACCTCAAAAATAACCAACTTCTGGCGAGGATTCAAGCACCATTGACACTGATTCGCCATAAGGGGAAGGAGGAGACCATGTGGTATGAATTTGACAAGATTGGGAATTTAGGGTTTGACCAGAAACTTCAAATCGATATTCGAAGAGTTCCGGTCAGATTGAGGATGGGGTTTGGGGGTTTGATAGAGGAGGAAACAAAGTGGTTCCATGGTTGTTAATTTGGACTGATTTGGCGAAGTGGTGTCATGGCCGGAAAACTTTGATCTAACGTTTCGAAACGTTTGGCCGGGATTTGAGGGAATCTAAGGTTAGATATAGGAAAGGAGAGGTCGAGAGAATCAATGGTGACGGCGGCGGACTGCGACGGAGTGGCGGAGGCGTGGTGGGACGGTGGCGTTACAGGGTACGAGGAAGGGGAAGAATGTTTTAGGGTTTGGAATGTTTTTTCGGACAGATTATTTATCATTGTGAACACATCAGGGCCGTTTGATCATAAGGGAATGAAAGCCTGGATTATGTGACGCCGAAACGACGTCGTTTTAGGTATGGGAGACCTGGACCGGATACTTTGTGGATTGGGCTGGGGAAATGGGTATTGGAAAGGGTCTTGGGCTGAGGCTGGCACGAAAATGGCCCAAATAACTTAGCCCTTGATTTTGTTGTTTATTTCTTCCTTTTTTTTTTATTCTATTTTGTTATTGTATTTATTTCTTTTGCAAAATTAACAAAACCTAATTTAACTCCAAAATCAGACCAATTAATTATCTAAAAAATAGAATAAATTCTAGTAAACAAAGAAAACTAAACAAAACGCCAAAAATGCAAACAAGTGGACTATTTTTTGTAATTTTTCTTTATATTTTGTTCTAAAAATAACTTAACCACTAATTAATCTAAAATATGAAATTAGATTCTAAATGCAAATGTCAAGCGTATTTTTATATTTTTATATGAATTAAAATGCACAAATAAGATGCAAACAATTAACAAGAAAATACACAAAATTCACAACTTGTACAATAATGAAAGAAATCATTTTGTTTGAATTTTTGGGAAACAATTTCACTTAGGGCAAAAATCACGTGCTCACAGCGCCATTTAGCGTGGCTTCAGTAAAAAGTAATCGCGCGAAGAAGGATTACTTATATATATATATAAGTTGTTAATACACTATACTTATATATATATTATATATATATATATATATATATATACTATTTAATATATATATATATATAAGTGTATTAACAACTAATACACTTATTTGCCGATTATATTTGATGTTTAGTACTAATGGCAACGACTTTAGTGCGCATGCTTTAGTTCCATGCCTACGCTAAAGCGCAGCTTAAGAGAAGCGAAGCGCCCTCCCCGAGCTTTTTCGAGCTTCAGTACTTAAGTACACTTTAAATAAGCTTTGGACAACACTGATGGAATGGATGTTTGTATTTCAGAAACCAGTACAAGCAACTTTTTTTATTTTTATACCGATAGAACTGACCATAAGCTTTTCTTTCCCTTTAATCCGGTGAAATACAACAACAACAACGACATACCTAGTATAATCACACATAGTGGGGTCTGGAGAGGGTAGTATGTACGTAGACCTTACCCCTACCTTTGTGGAGGTAGAGAGGCTATTTTCAATAGACCCTCAGCTCAGGCAAGCATAGGTACTACAATAATAACAAGAAACAAGACGGGACACACCGAAAAACCATGTAAAAGCATCGTACACAACAAAATAGTAAAAAAAGGTATTCAAATAAGCCTACTATCAACCAAATGCGAGAATACGTACTAACACTACCGGTATGAATAATCTAGACTACCTAACCTACTATCCTAATCTTAGACCTCCACACTCCTATCACGGGTCATGTCCTCGGTCAGCTGTAGTTGTGCCATGTCATGCCTAATCACCTCACCCCAACTCTTCTTCGGCCTACCTCTACCTCTCCTAAGGCCCTCAAATGTCAACCTCTCACACCTTCTTACCGGAGCGTCTGTGCTTCTCTTCCTCACATGTCCAAACCATCTAAGTCGTACTTCCCGTGTCTTGTCCTCAATAGGGGCCACACCCACCTTGTCCCAAATAACTTCATTCTGAATCCTATCTAATCTGGTGTGCCCGCACATCCATCTCAACACCCTCATCTCTGCTACCTCCATCTTCTGGACGTGAGAGCTCTTGATTGGCCAACACTTAGCCCCATACAACATAGCCGGTCTGACCACCGCTCTATAAAACATACCTTTAAGTTTTGGTAGTACCTTCTTGTCACACAAAACACTGGAAGCAAGTCTCCATTTCATCCATCCCGCCCCAATACGATGTGTGACATCTTCATCAATCTCCCCATCCCCTTGTATAATAGACCCAAGGTACTTAAAACTCCCCTCCTAGGGATGACTTGTGAATCCAGCCTCACCTCCCTTTCCACTCCCTGAGTAGCACCACTAAACTTACACTCCAAGTATTCTGTCTTGGTTCTGCTCAGCTTGAAACCTTTAGACTTTAGGGTCTGTCTCCACACCTCTAATCTCGCGGTAACACCGTCTCGCGTCTCGTCAATCAAAATAATGTTTTCTGCAAATAACATGCATCACAACACCTGCCCTTGGATGTGGCGAGTCTGTACGTCCATCGCCAGGGCAAATAAAAAAGGGCTCAGTACCGACCCATGATGCAACCCCATCATGACCGGAAAATGGTCCGAGACCCCTCCCACTATCCTCACACCGGTCTTCGCTCTCTCATACATGTCTTTAATAACACCATATGCAAGTCTTTCTTCCTCTCCCTATATTGTTCCATCAATCTCCTAACAAGGTGAATGACTTCCGTAGTCGAACGCCCTGGCATAAACCCAAATAGGTTCTTGGAAATAGACACCCTTCTCCTCACCCTTAGCTCCACCACCCTCTCCCACACCTTCATAGTATGACTAAGCAGCTTAATACCCCGATAGTTGTTGCAATTTTTGACATCACCCTTATTCTTGTACACAGGAACCATCGTACTGCATCTCCACTCTTCGGGAATCTTTTTCGTCCTAAAAATGACATTAAATAACCTAGTAAGCCACTCCAAGTCCGCCCTGCCCACACTCTTCCAAAACTCCACCGGGATTTCATCTGGCCCGGTCGGTCTGCCCCTGCTCATCTTACGCATATCCCCCACAACCTCCTCAACTCTAATCCGCCTGCTATACCCAATGTTGCAACGACTCTCGGAGGATCCCAAATCACCTAGAACAATGTCTCTGTTTCCATCCTCGTTCAAGAGACTATGGAAGTAAGTCTGCCATCTCTGATGGATATGCGCCTCATCCAACAAAACTCTACCTTCTTCGTCCTTGATGCATTTCACTTGGTCCAAGTCACGGGCCTTTCTCTCTATCACCTTGGCTAGCCTAAACAGTCTCTTATCCCCGCCTTTACCCTCAAGTTCTTCATAAAAATGACCAAATGCTGTAGTTTTAGCCACCGTAACCGCTAACCTCGCCTCCTTCCTAGCCAACTTATACCGCTCCCTATTCGACCTCCTGTCACGACCCGAATTTCCCACCATCGTGACCGTGATGGCGCCTAACATTGTGCTCACTAGGCAAGCCAACGTTTCAGAATATCCTACCTTTTTCCTTTATCTTTCAAATATTTAAGACTTAACAAAATAAACTAGTGAAACAAATGTGGAAGAAAATAATTTAAAAGCTTAACTTTACACAATAACGAAAACCAAAGTAACATCCACCCAGAACTGGTGTCACAATCTCACAGACCGTCTACGAATACTACAAATAATAGTCTGACCAAAGAAATACACATCTGTCTCGAAAATAAATAAAAACAGGCAGGAAACAGGATAGAGGAGTGTAGTATCAGTACAACCGACCCCATGTACTGGTAAATGTCGAGCCTAACCTCGACGAAGTAGTGACGAGGCTACGGCGGGGCATAACTATATATATATATATATATAACCTGCAGCAGTTTATAAAAAACAGAAAGGAAATACAGAATGTATTAAAGCAATAACTAGCATAAAGTAAATCCGGAACCCAGTTGTTCTACTAGTATTCAGCTATAACCAATCCTTAAGGGTGTTTCCACATCACAGTAATGAATTTCAGCAGAAATGAATACTTAAAACAACAACTGAGGCGGTGCGCATCCCGATCCACTCATATAAAGAACAACAGTATCAATATTCACCCTTATTCCTCCTTATTGCAGCGTGCAATCCGATCTCACCTGTCCACCCTTATTACTCCTCATCACATATCACCCTTATTCCTCCTGTTGCGGCACGCAACCCGATCCCACCTGTCCACCCTTATTACTCCTTGTTGCAGCATGCAACCCGATCCCACCAGACAATCACAATTTTCCCTTATTCCTCCAGCGTGCAACCCGATCCCAATATATATATATATATATATATATATATATATATATATATATATATATATATATATATATTAGCACCAAACGCAAAAGAATAGAGACAAGAGTTTCACAAGCTAACTCAAATCCCCCACATTATTTATACCTCAACCCACACAATGGAATATCACTACCATTATGAAACTTCACCAATGAAAACTACTCAGCGAGACCAACCAAGGTGCACCACAAGGCACCAATGAATNGTTAACATGAAACAATTAAACAATTCAATAAAGAGAACAACAGTTAACATGGAGCAATTAGACATGGAAACATTTATGAGCAAGTAGCAATTAAGGCAGGAAAGCAAGATATAGGAAAATGGGGAAAGGAAATGGGCTAAACAAGTAATTTGGTGATGCATAGGTACTCGTCACCACACCTATACGTCACACACATGATATTTCACATAGCAAACAAGACGGGGATCCCTAGTCTCTCAAGTCAAGGTTAGACCAAACACTTACCTCAAGCCAACGGGTAATTCAACACTCAACCACCGCTTTACCTCTCGATTCCACCACCAATTCACTCGTATCTAGCCACAATTAATTTAATAACATCAATAAATGCTGAATAAACCAATTCTAATGCATGAATAAAGATTTTCCAATGTTTTCCCTAAAAGTCAAAAATCGACCCCGGGCCCACTTGGTCAAAACTCGAAGTTCGAACCAAAACCCGATTACCCATTCACCCACGAACTCAAATATGCAATTGGTTTTGAAATCCGACCTCAATTTGAGGTCCAAATCCCCCATATTTAAAAATCCTAATTTCTACCCAAGAACACCCAATTTCCCATGAAAAATCCAAGATTTTGAAGTGAAATCATGTAAAAAGATGAATTACATTGAAGAAGATGAGTTAGAAATCACTTACCTATGATTTGGAGAAGTTTGAGTCTTTGAAAAATCGCCTAGGGATGCTTAGTGTTCGAAATTTTGAAGAATGAAGTTGAGATCCCGTCTGAAATCTCACTTAACACGTTGCAGTTATCGCAATTGCGATTAGGGGTTCCCAATTGCGAACCCTATAAATTTCTGCTGCCTTCGCATTTGCGACAAATATGTCGCATTTGCGACAATAGTGACCTTCGCATTTCCGGCCAAACTGTCGCATTTGCGAGGATGGCCTGCCTAGGCCTGGTTCGCATTTGCGACGTTATTGTCGCATTTCCCAGGGCCGCTCACTTTGCAATTGCGAAGCCTGATCTCGCAATTGCGAGATCAGAGGCCTGTGCAAAACACCAGATGCATCAGCTGAGTTTTCCTAAGTTCTAATCACCCCGTGGCCTATCCAAAACTCACCCGAGCCTTCGGGGCTCCAAACCAAACATGCACGCAAGTCTAAAAGCACTATACGGACCTGCTCGTGCGATCAAATCATCAAAATAACATCAACAACTACGAATTTAGCACCAAATTTCATGAAATTCTTAAGAACATTGAAATTTCCATTTTCTCAACTATGGGTCCGATTTATACCATATCAACTCCGATTCTTACCAAATTTCACAGATTCGACTTAATTATTATTTTAAAACTGTACCGGGCTTCGGAACCAAGATACGGTTCCGATACCGTCAAGATCACACACCATTTCATTTCCAAAAGTCCTTATATTTTCCAGCAAACAATTTTCTTTGAAAATTCTTTTCTCGGGATAGGGACCTCAGAATTCGATTTCGGGCATACGCCTAAGTCCCATATTTTACTATGGATCTTACGGGACCGTCAAATCACGAGTCCGGGCTCGTTTACCAAAAATGTTGACCGAAGTTAACTTTAATCAATTTTAAAGGCCAAATTCAATATTTTCTTAAATTTTACATAAAAACTTTCCCGAAACGCGCTAGGATTGCGCATGCAGATCGAGGTGAGACAAAAGGAGGTTTTTAAGGCCTCGGACCACAGATTTGACTTCTAAAACAAGAGATGACTTTTTGGGTGATCACATTCTCCACCTCTAAAACAACCATTCGTCCTCGAACGGACATAGAAAAGTACCTGAGTCGGTGAAAAGATGGGGATATCGGCTCTGCATATCGGACTCGGACTCCCAGGTTGCTGCCTCTACAGGCTGACCTCTCCACTGCACACGAATTGAAGGGAATTTTCTCGATCTCAACTGATAAACCTGCCGGTCTAGGATAGCTACTGGCTCCTCCTCATAGGTCAAGTCCTTGTCCAACTAGACAGTGCTGAAGTCTAACACGTGGGATGGATCGCCGTGATACTTCCGAAGCATGAACACATGAAACACTGGATGCTAACTAATAAACTCGGCAGCAACGCAAGTCTGTAAGCAACCTCTCCCACTCGATCAAGATTCTCAAAATGTCCGATGAACCTAGGGCTTAGCTTTCCCTTCTTCCCAAATCTCATTACTCCCTTTATGGGCGACATCCGAAGCAACACTCGCTCTCCGACAATGAATGCCACATCACGAACCTTACGGTTGGCATAACTCTTTTGCCTGGACTGAGCTGTACGAAGCCTATCCTGAATGATCTTAACCTTGTCGAAGGCATCTTGTGCCAAATCCGTACCCAATAACCGATCCTCCCCAGGCTCAAACCACCCAACTAGCGATCGACACCGTCTACCATATAATGTCTCATATGGAGCCATCTGGATGCTCGACTGGTAGCTGTTGTTGTAGGCAAACTCTGCTAATGGCAAGAACTGATCCCAAGAACCTCCAAAGTCAATAACACATGCTTGGAGCATATCCTCCAAAATCTGAATAGTATGCTCGGACTGCCCGTCCATCTGAGGATGAAATGCTGTGCTTAACTCGACCCGCGTACCCAACTCACGCTGTACTGCCCTCCGAAATGCGAGGTAAACTACGTACCTCGATCAGAAATAATAGACACGGTCGCACCATGAAGACGAACATTCTCACGGATATAGATCTCTACCAACCGCTCCGAAGAATAGGAAACTACCACAGGAATGAAATGCGCTGACTTAGTCAGCTTATCCACAATAACCCATACCGCATCGAACTTCCTCTGAGTCCGTTGGAGTCCAACAACGAAGTTCATAGTGATATGCTCCCACTTCCACTCAGGAATCTCAATCTTCTGAAGCAAACCACCAGGTCTTTGATGCTCGTACTTTACCTGCTGACAATTCAAACACCAAGCTACATACGCAACGATGTCCTTCTTTATCCACCTCCACCAATAATGCTGCCGCAAATCCTGGTACTTCTTAGAGGTGCCCGGATGAATAGAATACCGGGAACTATGGGCCTCCTCTATAATCAACTCACGAAGTCCATCCACATTAGGCACACAAACTCGACCCTGCATCTTCAAAACTCCATCATCTCCAACTGTAACCTGCTTGACACCACCGTGCCGCACTATGTCCCTAAGGACAAGCAAATGAGGGTCATCATACTACCGATCTCTGATACGCTCAAATAATGAAGACCGAGCGACTGTGCTAGCTAAAACACGACCGGGCTCAAAAACATCCAACCTCACGAACTGATTGGCGAAAGCCTGAACATCCAAAGCAAGCGGTCTCTCACCGACCGGAATATACGCAAGGCTACCCATACTGGCTGACTTCCTACTCAAAGTATCAGCCACTACATTGGCCTTCCCCAGATGATACAAGATGGTGATATCATAGTCTTTTAGTAGCTCCAACCACCTTCTCTGCCTCAAATTGAGCTCCTTCTGCTTGAACAAATACTGCAAACTCTATGATCCGTGAACACCTCACATGACATGCCATATAAATAATGCCTCCAGATCTTCAGCGCGCGAATAATGGCTGCTAGCTCCAAATCATGAACTGGATAATTCTTCTCGTGAATCTTCAACTGCCGCAAAACATATGCAATAACCTTGCCATTCTGCATCAACACCGCACCAACTCTAATACGAGATGCGTCACAATATATTGTAAATGGCCTTGAACCTGTTGGAAAAACCAACACCGGTGCCGTAGTCAAAGTTGTCTTGAGCTTCTGAAAGCTCGCCTCACACTCGTCTGACCACCTGAACTGGGCACCCTTCTGGGTCAACCTGGTCATCGGGGTTGCTATAGATGAAAACCCCTCCACGAACCGGTGG